ATTATTATTATTATTATTATTATTAATGTTATGAAGTTTTATATTAATCTTGGATTAAAAGAAAATGAGGATTTTATTAATTGGGATTATTTGGGTTATAAGGAGAATTTGGGATTAAGGGCAATAGTGGAATATTGGAAAGGAAAGAAGAAAGAAACACGATCGTGGGAGGGAGAAGAACACGGTAGAAGTGAAAAAGAGAAGAACCCGATCAAGCAAGAGTAAGCAAGAGGAAGCTAGGTTGTGGATTCTTGAAGTTTCTTCGATCAAAGCTGCATTTGAGGTAAAGGGGGGGGGGGGGGGGGGGAAGAATCGGTTAAAATTCGGTATTGCATGAATTCTAGGTGGAAGGGGATTTCCCTAACCCCATAGATGTTGATGAACTGATTGTTATGATGTTGTGAATTCTGAGTTGCTGCTGGTATGATTGAATCATTGCATGTGTTTGTTTGGGTGATTTGGGGTTTTCGGTAGTTTACCGTTTTAAGCCGAAATTGATCAATTGAGTAGAACTGAGGTTTTATCGGGTGAAATCGAGAATGGATTCTGTAGTTAAGTCGTAGAATGTTGGTTAGTTGTGTTAGAAGCTGGTTTGCGCGTAATCGGGCGAATTCGGATAGAGTTGTTGTTTCTGCACAATGGGATTTTTTTGAAATCGCAGGTATTCGCCAGCTTTCGCTGAGCGAATGAGGGGGCGAGCCTTCGCTAGGCTTCGCCAGGAGAACTGGGCAGCGAGTGCTGCCAGTAGCCACTGTCTGGCTTCGCCAGGGGTTTTGTCGGGCGAGCTCTAGCGAGCATTCGCTGCGGGGCTTCGCCAAGCGAATGTGCCAGCGAGCTCGACAGCAGTTTGCATTTTTGCTGCTGTTCTGTTCGGTTTTCTTGTGCTGTTGGACCCTTGCTGGTCATGTATTGATTACGAGATTGTTGGTGAGCTGTGCTGAGTGTATGTGTGGTGTTGGAATGTAATTTCCGTGTTATTCGTTTGATTGGAATATTTCGATTGGTGTACGATATGATATATATATATATATATATATCTATATATATCTATATATATATATATATATATATATATATATATATATATATATATATATATATATATATATATATATATATATATATATATATATATATATATATATATATATATATATATATATATATATATATATATATATATGATGTGTGATGAAATGTGATCAGTAGAATCATGTACACTTAGTGTATTTGATGTTGTATGTTGTGCATTGGGGTTATGCATAGCATGGTGTGATGATGTGCTCCTGTGTGGAGGGTGATGGCCTAGTGCCCATCGGTGATTGTGAGGGATAGATCATGTCTCAGGAGAGCGTAAGTGATCTATCCTGTTTATGATGTGCTCTTGTGTGGAGGGTGATGGCCTAGTGCCCATCGGTGATGATGATATGTTCCTTCGGGAAGGGTTGATGGCCCGGTGCCCATCGTTGCTATGTTGATTCGGTACCGCATATCATGGGTCGAGTTGCATTGTCTTATATGCTACGTTTGTGTGGGACAGTAGGTCCGGGTCGATGTATGTGAATGATAGTTGTGTGATTTACTGCCTTTTATTCATGTACATTATTACCGTTATATTTTTGATCGTGATTTCTCACCCCTTGTTGTTGTTGTGGTCTGTGCTTCTTCGGAAGTACAGACAATCCAGGTGCGTAGCTAGCTTGGATTGTGGCAAGTCGAGTCGTAGGGATGCTCTGATACGTAACACGAGGCTTTTGGGAGTTATTTATCTGTCTGATGATTTTGTTTGACTCTGTGTCGTATCAAGTTCTGTTGAATCTTTGGATATGTATATGTTTGTATATTTTGGGCGGTTGGCCGAATTGATGTAGATAATGTTTATGTATATATTTATATGACAAATTTTTCTGCTGCATTTTGTTGAAAATTATTTAAAGTGGTGTTTTGTGGAAAGTTTTGGTGATAGTGACATTCCGTTTTTGGAAGAACTCTGATAATTGCTTGATTTAAATGTTTTATTTTATTTTTGGGAAATAGGGTGTTACAACTGAGGTATGCAGAGTTCTCCCCCTTCGTGAAGTTACGTTTGGTGAAGCTACTTCTCCCCCTGCGTGAAGCTACATTGAAGGTGAAGAAACCGTGAAGCTTAGGTACGTTACACTTACACTAAACTCATTATCTGTGATTCTCCTTTTTTTGATTAGTTTATGAAAATGAAACTCGCCGTCAATCCTGCGTGTTAGATTTTAGGTTGATGTAACTGTGGGTCTGTTATTGATATCAGTAATGGTAGTTTTCATTTTAGGGTATGTTGCTTATTTGCTTGTTGGGGCTATATGTTGTTGATTTAAGCAGGAACAACATGGTTATGGATGAATTTTATGTTGACTTTCATCATGGGGGATATTTCGTTGATGACAAATATGTAGGAGGTGAAGTGTCAAACTGAAAGTGTGATGGTAACAAATGAAGTTACTTTAAAACTTTGGGGGTTGTTAAAGAGATGAAGTATCTAGGAGTTCTTGAAATTTGGTATGACTTTACTGGAACACTGAAGGCACTGAAAGATGACTATGGTGTAATAGAAGCATTGGACTGGTCCAAGACTAAGGGCAAGGTTGACATATACATAGTCCACCCTATTGAACAACCTGATTTAGTAGTTGCCCTATTTGATACCCAACCCGAGGATGTTTCTAATGACCAACCTAATGCCCAACCTAAGGATGTTTGTAATGCCCAACCTGAGGATATCTGTGATGCCCAACTTGATGACCAAAATGAGGATGTTTGTGAGGTCCAACCCGATGACCAAAATGAGGATGTTTGTGAGGCCCAATCTAATGACCAAAATCAGGATGTTTATGAGGCCTAACCCGATGACCAAAATGAGGCCCATAATGACAGTGATGGCAATGCATTAGGGCACAGGTTTGATGACTCAAATGATGAGGTTTTAAATGATGGAGTTGATGAAGTCTTGGTGGGAGAAGGAGGTTTTGTTGCTGACCAAAGTGATCAACCTAATGATGATATACTAGCATATGAAACACTTCAAAATAGAAAGAGGAAGGAAGGGAGACAAAAAAAAAAAAGAAGGCAACAAGCAGTTCCAAAAATCACAAGGGAAGACCTAAGAAAAAAGGTGTGAATGAAGGAAGTTCAGTTCCCCTCAGAAGTGATGTAACATCAAGTGATGAAGATGTCCTTGATTTTGGAATTAGGGAAATAAATACATGTACGAAGTTATGTGGTTTGTCAGATTCTGACTATGCAACTAAAGAGTTAGAAAATGAGGATGACCTGAGTAATGGGCATTCAGATGAGGATGGGAATGTTAAATACCCATAATTTGTCATGCCTAATAAGTTTAATGACTATAAGTGAATATTGGGAAGCTTGTTCTCAATGAAAGAGGAGTTCAAGGAAGTTATTGCAAGTTATATTGTTCATAATGGTAGGGATTTAAGGTATCTAAATAATGACAAGACTAGGGTTAGAGTTGGCTGCAAGGAAGGGTGTGGATGAGTGGCCTTATGTTCCAAATTGCATAATACGGACACATGGTAATTGAGAACACTTAATGACAATCACACTTGTAGTAGATAGTTTAATGTTAGGATGTTTAATTCTAACTAGTTTGGGAAGAAATTATACACAACAGTTAGAATCAACCCTAATGTGAGACTGACTGCTATATGTGAAAAAATGCATGAGAAATGAAATGCTTGTATGAATAGGATGAAAGCTTACAGGGCACGGAAGAAAACATTGAATATTGTTGAAGGGTCATTCAAGGAACAATATCGTAGATTGCATGACTGTGCACATGAGCTATTGAGGCCAAATCCAAACATCAGCATCAAGTTAAATGTCCAAGCAACTGAACAACAACCTGAAGAATATGTTAGCAGACCATTACTACCAAGTTTTCATAGAATGTATATGTGTTTTGATGCTTGCAAGAGGAGTTTTGCAGTTTGCAGACCAATAATTGTAGTTGATGGATGTTTTCTCAAAGGAAATTATGGAGGTCAGATCCTTGCAGCAGTAGGAAGATACCCTAATGATCAAATGTTGCCCATTGCCTTGGTTGTAGTTGAAGTAGAAACTAAAGACTCTTGTGCATGGTTCTTTAATTTTCTAGTTTGTGACTTGGGAGGGCCAGAAGTTTGCAAACATGTTACTTTCATTTCAGGTCAGCAGAAGGTAACAAACAAATCCTTCATGATTTTAATTTGTAACTTATAAGTCCTTCATGATTTTAATTTGTAACATATAAGTCCTTCATGATTTTAATTTGTAATATATATGTCCTTCATAAGTTGATACACAGTTCGACATATCTGTAACAAACAGGTCCTTCATGATTTTAAATTGAAACATATATGTCCTTCATGATTTTAAATTGAAACATGTATGTCCTTCATGATTTTAAATTGAAACATGTATGTCCTTCATGAATTGTTACACAATATGATTAATCTGTAACATACAAGTCCTTTGTGATTTTAAATTGTAACATAGTTATCCTTCATGATTTTAAATTGTAAAACTATGTTTATTTTTTGATTAGGGGCTGTTACCTGCAATAAATGAGTTGTTATCTAGAGTTGACCAGAGATTTTGTGTTAGACACTTGTATAGAACTTCCGAAAGAGATTTCCAGGCAACCATTTGAAGGAATTAATGTGGAGGGCAGCCAAGGCAACATATCCTCAGGCATGGGAAAGAGAAATGAAGGAAATGAGGAGGCATACAAATACTTGTTAAAGATACCCCATAAATATTGGAGTAAGTCTATGTTTAAATACAATACAAAAAGTGATGTGTTGGTGACTAATATGTCTGAAACTTTTGATAGTGTTATAGTTGGACCAAGACAAAAGCCAATAGTAACAATTTTAGAGGAGATTAGATGATACCTCATGGATAGATAGGAAACTAATATAGCAAAGATTGAAGATTATAGTGAGTCTAATCTTCAAAGAATTAAAAAAATGCTTGAAAAAAGAAAAAATATCTCAAGGTTTTTTATAGCAAGGTAATTCAATAATTAATTTTACAATTCACAAATCTGTTAAGATTATTAACACTAACTCAATGGATTTCATTTGTTTCAAAGGTTATCAGGTGACATGATTTATGAAGCAAGACATACAAGTTTGATTGGAGAAAAATTCACAATTGATCTCAAGAGGTTGAAGTGCTCTTGCAGGAGTTGGATGCTCACTGGCATTTCATGCTACCATGCAATTTCTTGCATTCAAAATAGATCTCAAGACCCAGATGAGCACATTCCTCCATGTTATAGGAAAGAGACTTACCAGGCTTGCTATAAACCATTCATATATCCAACAAATGGAGAAATCTTATGGGAACTGACACAATATCCTGACATACTTCCACCACATTCTAGAAGAGCACCAGAGAGGCAAAAAAGAAGAAGAAATAAGGATGCTGATGAAAAGAGAAAGGATTCAACAAATTTCTCAAGAAATGGGTTGCCAAATAAATGTTCAATATGTGGTATTTCTAGCTACAACAAATCATCATGTCCTACAAAACCAAGAGAAGCCCAAAATGCTACCACTGTCCAATCACAAACTGTAACAAATGTCCAACCCCAAACTACCAATACTGATCAATCATAAACTATAAAGAAATGTTACATCAAAATTAACAATGATCGCCACTTCTAAACCAAAATACACATAACACTACAAAAAATCAAAACTAACAAAATTATGACATAACCTATCATCTTCAACATGTTCTTCATGATCTCCTTAGTGTATTTCTCATCCTTATTAATGTCCCTTCTAAGCATGTTAATTTCAACATTCTTTTCATTAGATTTGGAACATTTTGAAATTACTGAGAGTTGTATCTCTGGTTTGACTTCATCACTGTGATGGTTTTCAAACCACTCAAAAAAATTGCAACCCACATTACCAGCTTTACTCTGTTAACAATAACATAAACCGAAACATCAAATATGCCAAACCATCTCAGACACAGAACAATATATCTGCATAAACTAAAACCAAAAATATGAACAACACACGTACCACAAAGTATCTGCATTATCAAAATAGCTTCCCCAAGTTTCTTCCTTTCTTCTTAACTGTTCTTAACACTTCTTTAACTCCACATAGACACATCGATTCGATTCTAGTTTAAGATGTACTCGAAATAAAGGTATTAGAGTTCCGGCATATTCGATTTGGTCCATTGTTACCATATGAGGTCATTGATGGAGTGATGAGATTTAGGGTTCCAATGCATGTAATGGGGATTTTGAGTTATCATTTCTTTGATCTCCATAAATAAGAAAGAATAAGACAAATGCATATTCAATAAGATTAAATGACACATCATCACTATTAAATGACACATCAGTGTCGTTTGTGCCACATAAACGTTTTTGGAACGAAGTTTGTGAAAAAGGTAAAGTGAACACATTAGTTAACATAAAGGACCAAATTACAGCAACAAAAAAACATAAAGGAATGACTTGTTATAATAAAATTACTTAAAGAACTCAGGGTATATTTTTGTCTAATTTATTTAAATTGATTAGTATTATAGATTTTACGAGACTATTTATTTAAGAAAATTTATGAAAAATAACTTATGATATTATTTATACTCACGTGTCTGTCTATCCTTTTTTATAGTGTGAATGCATGCAAAGATATAAGTCATATTATTATTCTTATTAAACTTTAATTTTATATTAAATTATTATAAAATATTAAAAAAAAATACATAAACCGTTATATAAAAAAGAGAAGTTAAGGATTTAAAATAAAAAAAAGTTAAAGAATAAAGAGAAGTTAAAATAAAAACCGAAAAAAGTATATTTGGAAGAAAAAAAATACTACATCAAATTTATGTTTTTCATTTATATATTGTTATAGAAAAAATGTTGGAGAAATTTCCAAAATATTTAATTGATAGATAATAATGATTAATTTGTTTCTATGAATCATATAAATCATAAATGTTTATGTGGTGTAGTGGTTGGGGTTTTTGATATTAATTCAAAAGTAACATATTCAAATCTTGATAAACTAAATTGCCAAAAGGTGTGTATGCCAGAATCAAACCAAGGAACCTTTGTCTACAGGTGCGAGGACAGAAATGACCACCATTAGACCAATGCAACGCTTCATGCCAATGTTGAACGTTATGAATAAATAATTGTTTCAAAATGGTTATTTTGAAACATTATTTATCCTCATCAATTGATACAAGTTTTTCTATAAATATAAATATTTATTAGACATAAAAACATACGAAAATAATATAAATCAAAGTAAAAAATTTATATTTAAGTCATTTTTTTTTTATTTTTCTAGTGCACGAGAATAAGTTAAGGAATTTTATTTTGTAAAATATCATTGATCAATATATTTAATGTGAAAGTGTAATTATTGTTAAGGTTTTCAAAGTATCCTAAAAGGGATTCGTCAGTTTACCCATTTGCATCTAATTTTTCTAAATTTGTCGAGGCGAATCGAACCTAAATCTTAGTGTAAACGCACGTGTTGGAATTTCTATCAATTAAATATTTTAGAAATTTCTCCAACAATCCCCAACCATTTAAAATATATCTAAATCTATAATTCATGAAATTTCATGGTTTTAGATAAACATATCTTACGATTTGAAACAATACTTAGTAAGTCAAGTTTTCACGCATTCCTGAATAAATTGGTAGACAAGCTTTGAACCAACCATTTATTAGAACAAACGTGCATAACTAAAACATGAAATCTCGGTACCATTGATCAAATTATTAATATGACATATTTAATAAGGCCTTGTGTCTCATATCCTTTTCATGAGAATTTAAGAATAAAACCCTTGAACTCTATGAAGCGGCACAACTGCATAGGTAGACTGTATCATAAATGCACCCATAATTATACATTCTAACAAATATATGCTATATGTCTATCTATTAAGAGAAAAACCTCATCCTACCATATTTATTCTTATGGTCCAAGTACATTTACCATTTGGGATGTATCTATCATCAAGTACTTGAATCGCTCTAATAGTGTACTTTTATCATTGAATTCAAGACTTAAAATTAATCAAGTGTGAGTTGAGTTTCCATTATCGATGATTAATTTGATATGAGCTTGTTTCATATTCCTAATGATGACTTCATTGTTTTTAATTATATCCAAAGACATCATATCCTTTTCAATTCTTTCATCAAAGAATTGCAAGATTTTTCAAACTTTAATAAATTTCAAATATTCAATTTTCAACTAATCATGCATATGATTACTTTCTTGACAGTATTTGCCATCTATCATCAAATCATGAAACTTTTGTCATATTAGTACAATTATCATATACAAAAAATATATTTTATATTCTTGATAGTTTCGATAAACTATTATCATAATACTTTTGTCATTCATTTTGTCATATAAACAAATTTTAAGTCATTCTTCATTTGCTAACCTTTTTAATTTGAAGTTTTACTTCCACTTAAATATATCTAAAATATATTTAATACATTAAACATTTATAGCAACCGAAAATCACGATCAAACAAATTTATCATGACTAATTTTTATTTTACGTAGTGGGTTCAAATATAATACCATTGAACTTATTTATTTTCTTTTAAAATAAACAGTTTACTTACATGACTAATATATGCATAACAAATTCTATGTGATAAACTCATGTTTTATATTTAACAATATTCTATGGTTCTTCACCTGCACAACATCCATAATCCCCTTCTCCTAAGGCGGATGTGATGGGTTCCAAGCTGGGAATATGGGAAAAATTCAATAAACTCAAGGGACACCATACTAAGGATTGCTACATACTCAAAATAGAAAATGAGAGACTAATACAGGAGGGACACCTCAAGAAATATGTGAAAGGTGACTCCTCCGATCCAAAAGACAAGTCTAACTCACGAGAAAGAGATGAAGCTGGAAACTCTAGGCCTAACAAAGCCAAGGAGGTGCCTTAGAGAGAAGGTAGTTAAGTTGCACGCCACTCACTTAATACCATAGCAAGAGGATTTTCCACGGGCAGGGAAACCAATTCCACTCGAAGAAGGTACACTTTCCAGATCTTGAGTATAGAAAACTTCCCTGAAGTCGAGACCAAAGGTAAACACCAAATTCCAGAAACCATGATTTCCTTCTCGAAGAAAGATGCAGCTGACATCCACTCTCATAATGACAACCCCATTGTCATTATCGTTAATTGCAAAGACTGGGAAATTAAAAGAGATATATTTTACCAAGGGAGTTTCACATATATACCATATCGAGAGGCGTTTGAAATACTTAGCTCCGACCTAGAAGATTTGAAGCCTTTTAGAGGATTGTTGGTTGGATTATCTAGAGAACAGGTACATGTAATGAGATATATCACATCGAGGATCACTTTTGGAAAGTAGGATCAAACTAAAGAGATAAAGGTTAGGCATTTTTTTATTGATGCCCCCTATTCGTATAATATGATTATAAGGCGACCAACATTTAACTGGTAGGGCACTACCTTGTCAACTCTATATTTATTGATGAAATACTCACTGTCCAAAGGGAGAGTGGGAGTTATGCAAGGAGATCTCCATAAAGTGTTACATAGAAAGCCTCAGGTTGAAGAGGTTTTGCACTCCAAGAGAGAAATCCAAGAGGATGAGCTCAAGAATAACTCCACCAGGAGAAATCTGCAAATGCGTGAATGCTTTCTCTCCAACCTCTAAGGAGATTGAAGGGTGAAGATTCAGAAAGGATGTCCTATGGAGACATCAGCATATGTGTCATCTATTTGTCTTTATTACTGTTTGATTACTTTATTGACAATTTTTACAAGTGAGTATTGCATCTTTGTCAATTGTAAAGACAAGTTATTTCATGGGGTGCACTCTTTCCCCTTTGCACTTTTGCATTGGGTGAGGGTTTTTATTGAGGCACCTCGCTTTTATCATTTTAGAGAATCAATATATTTGGTTATTCCTTTCTTTTTAGAAAAATTAAAAGCTCAAGAGAATATCTCTCATAGTGGAGATCAAATCGCTGAATCCTTAAGATGGATCCTTGCTGAGACAATCACTTTAGCTATATCTTTAAGTGGGATCCTTGCCTCCCATAAAGGTGATCAAAATAGTTGGATCCTCAAGTGAGATCCTTGCCACCCAAAGAGGCGATAAAAATCGTTGGATCCTCGCTAGAGTTGTCAAAATGGGCTAGCCCATAAGGGCCGGCCCGCCTAACCCGAAAAATCACAGGGCTTGAGCCTTAAAATTAGAGCCCATATATTTTTAGGGCTTTTTTAGATCATCCCTAAAAATCCTGCTATCCATTAGGGCTAGCCCATATTGGCTGCGCATAGCCCATTAGGCCCGCATAGCTATAAATTTGAAAAATATATATTAATACTTATATTGTCTTACTCTAAAATAACATATTGATTTTTTTCACCTTATTAAATTTCATCTCTATTCTATTTAATTTTTCTCTTTAAATCTTATACACTAATATAATCAACACCCTTTCCCCGTATTCTATTAATTTCTCTTATGTTAAACATTTGAGTATTATTTTATACAATTTAGATGTATTGTATTTAAAAACATATTATAGTATTTTAAAAAGATAATATA